TTTTGCCAAATAAGCCTGTCCACCAAGCCATAAATACCGCCATAAAAAGTGCGCCGTGAGCAAGGCTTAGGGAGTAAAGCGGCCGGTCTGCTGCTGAAGTGAGCCTCGGGCCCGCTTCTCAGTGCCGACCCGGCGCGCTCGGCTCTGCGGCGGGCGGGGGGAGTGAGAGGCTGGGCTCCGCAGCACCGGGACGGGGAGCGGGGGGCGGGGGCCGTGCTACGCGGCCCGAGCTACGCGGGTTTGGATTTGGGTGCAGTTACCCCGGACAGGGGCAGCTGAGCGCGTGGCGGACTGGGCTGCCCGCGGTGGGGCCGGGGCTGCACCGCGCTCACTCCGCGTGGTGCTGGAACGAGCAGACACGGCGAACGAGGCGAATTCGCTCGCTCGCTCGCCCGCCCGCGACTCCAGAGCACACCCCCCCACGCTGCGGGGGAAAGAACAGGGCTTGGAGGTCAGAGGCCCCAGGTATCCCTGCTTTTGTTGTTTTTAAAGAGGTTTGAGAAGAGCAAACTTAAAAATAAAAAGACATTTAGCAAACTTAAGTGAATTAGCCCTAGCCGGCGGTGATGTTTATTCTTTAAGCGTTTGCCCCAAACTCCCACGTGGGCAGGAGCCTGCCTCTTGCCTATCAGGCTGCGGTGAGAGTGCGGCGGGGGCCACTGCTCGATGCCTGTTCGTGGATGCAGCTGTGAGAAGAGCCTTCAACTCCGACAACAGGTGGGACGCATCCGCTCCCCCCTCTACCTGAGCTTCCCTCCCCCTGGCTCCTTCCTGCCGAGACATCCCAGCCTCCAGGCGAGGAGAGCCGCAGCGCTGGGCCCTCGGCACAGAGTGAGGACCGGCTGGTTGACTTCACAGGTCTCTGTCGCTGCCAGGTAAGCCGTGGGGAGCACAGCTCTGCGCAGGGGGAGGCGGCTGGGCCCTGTTTTCTCCGCCGGCCGCTCCCTTGTGAAGGGGAGGTGCTGATGCGTGCGGGGCGGACAAGGGAGGGTGGTTATTATAAAATGGAGGCCCAAGAAACGAGCAGGTTGGAACCGGTTGACAAGGAAATCATTAATAGCAGCCGTTGCCAGTGACCTGGACGCTCAGGGGCTCTTGGGGTGGTGCTGGCGCGTAAAGAGTAACTCCCGCTGTGATTCCTCACCTGCGGAGGGGCTCCTGTTCAGCTACGGTTCAGGAGGGCAGGCGGGCCGAGTCTCCCTGAGGTCCCTGCCAATCCCCACAGAGGCCGTTCTTCCCCGAGACCCCAGGCAGGGCAGGCCCGGCCCCAGCAGGACATTCCAGGGCTGCCAGCCAACTGGCTGCCACCCCATCTGAAGGCCTGGGTGCGGGGAGTGAACGTTTTCAGGATGGAGTGTCCTGGCTCAGAGCTTTCCAGGGTCCTGTGAACCCTGTGGGCCTGAGACAGCTCACAACAAGTGTGTGCTGTGACCACCGCCACCACACCAGGAGGCCTGTCCCCAGTGGCTCTCTCAGGGAGAGCTCTGTGACCATCCAGATGCAAACTGACAGGATTTAGGACAGACTAAGTGCCCTTTGGGTGGAAACACTGGTCGGGGTCTGAATTTGATAGTGATGGAGAGGCGGTGGT